AAATGTTAACTAAATCATGCCACAGCATTATGTGTGACTAGGACCCACATTTAGAACACATCCCTGGAGACTCAGACCTTGGAAGTGACCTGTTAGAGGTAGTCACTGACAAGTAGGCCACTTCCCCTTGGTCCTTAGAGTAATTACAAAGCGATAAGAACAGCACAGAATGAGCGACTTGGGGTAATACTCAGGACCTGTGAGACCCCAACCTCAGTGTGGGGTGGGTTGCTGGTCCAATCGGAGCTCACACAAACTGCGGAGTCTTGAGCAAATTTCTGAACTTCTTGGAGCCTTCGTCCATCATCTGTACACTCCATCCCGCAAACCTTGTAGGGTCATCGTGAAACTCAAATATTCTGAAAACTGTGTGAGAACCTAGATCATAGAGTTATCCTGGTGGACTTCAAGGGTGGGGTCCTTGGCCCATCCAATTATTTGCATCTTTTAACATGATATCACAACAGGAGGGCCACAGCCTGCCTGCAGTAAAGCAGGTGAGCTAATGAGTGAGAATCTGGCTAACAAATAAAACTGTTTTCTGCTTCTACTTTGTCCAGAGGAAATGGAATGACTGCATGGATTACCGAGTTGAGAAAGGCAATTTATGGGTTTTCATTCATTCAGTGAAATTTACTGATGTTCCAGAGTCACACAGTAACTTTTAAGGGCCAGTTCCCTGAACTTTCCAGGATTCTTACAAAACGCTCTCCCAGCCAACGTCATCTTTATGGACAAGTAAGGGAAAATGTCATTAAAAACATGCTTTTGGATTTCGTTTTACTGTTTTGAGCTCCTTTGCTTTGTGTTTTTATTAGGATCTCCGGTCCCCTAAAAAGGGCTAATGAATGAGTAGGAACTGACTCCATCTGACCACTTGTGCCTTCCACAGTTTCTGCCATTAAGTGACATGGTGCCCAAGGACTCCGCAAGTGCTGTTCATGAGCCTTTTTGGAAAGGTGTGGGTCCCTGTTCAGGTGCCACTTGTTGCTGTCCTGCAGCAATGGACTTGATGCATAGAGCCTATAATAACACGTGTGGACTCTGACTGATGGTCGAAGTTAATTAGTGGCATCAGACTTCATAGATCAAGGGTCATTTGGGATAAGGGACTAGGTACTGAGCTTATAAACAAAATCCATCAACTATTTCTATACTTTTGTTTGGAACTCTTTAGTTTTGTATATCCCACCAAGTCTTCTCATTCACATGCTGTCCACCCAGCTGTTCTCACATAAAAGATATCCATTTAGTTAATGGTACACACTCAGTTGTTTTCATACAAATATTATCCTATCAATTGTAATCCAATGCTCACTGACCATCTAGGGTTGCAATGTCTCTCTATACCTTTAGTTATCTGCATTTCCAAGCATGACTGCAGTTTTCAGTTCAGTTTCTAGTCTCCAAGAAAGATGAGTTCTCATTGCTGCTGGCCCTGGCCTGCCGCTCTGTAGCTTTAACCAACAAACAGAAAGAGCTCAGTGGCAATGCTGCCACTCCCCACACTGCCCTCCCCACACTGTTCCTGTTTGTTCTCTGCTTCCACATGGGCTTCCTGCCCTGACCCTCTCTTTCATATGGTCCCTCCTGTTCCTCTGAGAGCTTTCACCTGATTCTGGCCTTTATTACTGCATTGTTCCTTGTTTATTCTTTATCCTGCAGACTGTTCCTCTGGGAGGAGCTTAAAAATCAAACCTTGGCGCTTGTGTTGTTATGAAAGATTTTGGCCCATATTTTTAATAATGATTCGAGTACATTCCCAGAGACAAACAGAATCCAAATGAAATCTGATTTCCCCCACTATTTTTGCTTTAAAATGGAAGAGCAGGAGCAATTTATGAGCAACTGAATTTGACTGCAGCCTGGTTGTCCCATCGTGTCTTTCATTTGCCTTTCCAAGCAGAGATGAAATTTTGGGCATTCCTGGTGGCTGATGACCTGGACTAGGGGGTGAGTTTGTGTTGTACAGCTTTTACAAAGATCTTTCAGGATTCTTTTTAAACTGTCACTGAGAGCAAGAAGAAAGCTCCTGAGACCTTTAAGATTGCAGGGTTTGTGTTCAGCCCTTGACTTTCATTCAAATTGGCAGTCTCTTTTCAAAAAAAGAGCATAATTCTCTCATCTTTAAAGTATGCCGGGCTCAGTCCATTTGAATACTCAGCAAGTTATCAGGGGACTTCTCAAAAGTCAGAAGGAAGAAGTCAAACCCTATGACGCAACCTGAGGCCACCACCCCCCGGGGTGTTGGTCAATCATGGAGAGGTTCCTTTCATTTGAATCTACTCCTGGAGGTGTTTAAGCCCTGTTAGCACAACCAGCCGAAAAGGGAAAGGATTTGAATCAAGGCACCACATCATTTTGCCTCCCTAAGGCGAGGGGGAAGAGAAGTTTGACTGAAACATTTCACTATTATGGGTCTGGAAAAAAATGTCACCCCCCCCCCCGCCTCCCCGCTCTATCTCCACGGGTTATGAGAGAATAAAACACATCATCTAGGCCTTAAGGGTGAGTTCTCTTAAGATTTGAACATAGAAGCCCATTTTAACACACCTCTCAACATCTTCCAATCAGTTGTTAAGTGATGGCTAGTCTATATGAAGCATACCTGCTTTCTCCATTGGTCCTTTGGTTATCAAACTCTGACACTGGAAAGAATCTATCTTTTCAGTAAAGGGACCCAGCAACTTCCAGGAGGAGGCAAAAATGCATGAAACCTCACCAATCCAGAGTTCACCTCAAATTCGGCACATTAGGAGAGGGAACTCAGGAGGTAGGCGTTGTGGTGGAGCAGGTGAAGTTACCATCTGCAATGGCTGCATCCATTTGGCTCCTCTACCAGGGAGCACATTCGAGTCCCAGCTGCTCAGTCCCACACTAACACATCTGGGAAGCAGCTGATGATGGCTCTCTGACACCCACATGGGAAACACAGATGGGGTCCTCGGATTTGGCCTGGTCCAACCCTGGTTGTTGTGGTCATTTGAGAATTGAACCAGTATATATGGAAGATCCTTCTCTGTCATGCTACCTTTAGAATTAAAAATCTTCTTAAAAAGTGGAACTCAGAGGCACATGTTTGGCACAGTGGTTAAGCATGGTTTGAGACACCTGCATTGCATGTTGGCGTCCCCAGGTTCACTTCCCAGCTCCTCTTGCAATTCAGCTTCCCACAGATGCACGTCTGGGGAGTAAGCAGGTAACGGCTCAAGCACTGGGGTCCCCAACTTCCAAGGCAAGACCTGGAAGGAGTTCCAGGCGCCTGTCTTCAGCCTGGCCCAGCCCTGGCTGTTACAGGCATTTGGGGAGTCAACCAGCAGATGGACGAGCTCTCTCTTTCTGTGTCTCCTTCCCTTCTAATAAAGGGTGGTAGGGGGATGAGCTTAGTGTTTTCCCCTTTAAAATAAGCTCCTTGGCCCTCTTCCCAGCCTCTTTACCTATTAAAGGAAGTATTTTCCTTGCCACATTAGGAACACCGTGACTATCTTGAATTCTGCTACAGTCGTCTTCCTCCTGATACCCTATTAATCACACAGTTCTGTCGATTCTTCCTTAATAACATCTTGGAAACTTTCCATTCTTTCCTATCCCAGCAGAATAAAACCAGAAAACAAGGATCTGGCTCTCCAGACTGGGACATGAGAAACACATCCAAGTGTGTGTGTGTGTGTGGGCGGGGTGGGGTGGGGATGTACTGATGAAATAATACAAAACCAGGTTAATGCCTGTGCAGCTCTGAGGGCAAGGGGCGGGCGCTGCGTGGGGCTGGGGCAGCTGGGTGTCTCCCCTCCGAGGGGCAGCTGCTAGGGAGAGGCCAACGGGGCAATTCCAGCCCCTGGCTGAACCTGCTTGGATCCCAAGTCCTTCATTTCCAGATGAGCTAACCTCCTCCCATAGTGCCCCCGCGTGTTTCTCCAATGTGAACCAGCGTGAGCAGGACGCGTGGTGGACTTGATCATGATTTTAAACTTGCCAGTGTGTATTTCACCCCCGACCTGGACAGAAGCTCAGCTTTTCCTAGACTCTCTGCCCCTCCCCCTCCCCTAGCAACCACCCCAGGGTTCATAAACACCATTCGGCATCACAGAAGCCTCGGAACGCGGCTGGAATGCTGTGAAGGAATCCCGAGTTTCACTCGTCCAATCCTGCACTTGGCCAACGAACACCCGCCAGGGTCTGGAGGGAGTGCACCCATCTGCCTAAACTCACAGGGCCACCAGCAGGGACAAGGCAAGGGCCAGGACCCAGGGTGCTGCTCCCACCCCCCAAGTCTGAACCGTCAGTTGTCCTTGGGTAATGAGTGACAGAAACACCCTACTTTTTACACAAGGCCTCCTGAGGGCGACGGTGACAGGGGGCATTTCACGGTCCTAAAATACGTGCGGAGATTCCCTCCACGGCCACTTGCTAAACTGCCCGGGGTGGGGACGAACTCCTCGGCTCGGGCAGAGTCCCAAATGACGGAGTGGCACTTGTTGTCTGAGGAGTCCGGCGGCTCTGACAGGGCCCCGCTGGCAGCGGCTCCCTGGGCCGCCGGGCTGTCACCCAGCCGCGGCGCGGCCCGCCCCCACGTGGACCCGGCTAGCCCGATCAAAGTCTGTTTGCAGCCCGGCCCCGGCAGGTGTGCGCGGGGGGCTGGTGAGGACCCTCAGCCCGCGACGCCGACCCGGCCACGCCCGACACGGCCCCACCCGTTGCACGCGGCCCGCGCCCCCGCCCCTCCCCCACGCCGCCCGCCGCTGCACCCGGCCGCGGCCCCCGGCCCACGCCCGGCTCCCGGAGCGAGAGGCCCCGCCTCCAGCGGTTGGAGCCCCGCGGCCCCGCCTTCTCCCGCCCCTCGGAGCTGCCGTCCAATGACCAGCGCGGGGGGCGGGGCGGGGCAGCTGTCGTGAGGGAGTCCTGGCCAATGGGGAAGCGTTCCGGGTCCTATGGGCGTGGCGGCAGGGCCTTGTCACGCTCGGGTCCGTGTGAAAACGGGGGTTCCGAGTGCAAAGCAAAGTTTTTTTGTAAACCGTCTGCAAAGGCGGGGGGGCGAAGAAGGCGCCGGAGCCCGGGCCGAGTGCAGCTGCCTCGGCCGCCGCCTCTTGAGCTCCTTGTGCGGTGGGCTTCCTCAGTCCACCCTCCGCGGAGGCCGGCGAGGAGAGCCCTCAGATGCTCGGAGCCTTCCCGGCGCGGAGCTGCCGGTCACCTTCGCCCGCCGCCCGCCTGCTCCTGCTCCTGCTCCGGCTGCTCTTCCCCCGGCTCCGGGAGCCCCAGCTCCCCGCCGCCGCCGCCGCCGCCTCCGCCCCGCCGAGGCTGTGGGGGCTGCCGGCGTTGCGCCGGGCCTGGGCGCCGGCTCGGACGACCGACGCCTGAAGAGCTGTGCGCCGCCGCGCCGCCGGCCGGCCGAGGACGCCCGCAGACCCGGGGCTCGCCGGCTTGACCCCGGGCTCGCCCCCGTGCGGCTGTGGGACTCGGGCGGCGTGAGCCCCGCGCCGGCCTCCCCGCGCCCCACGCCGCCGCCTCCTCCTCCTCCCGGGTCGCCCGGCCGCGCTCGGCGGGCCGCTCCGCCGCAGCCATGGGGTGCTGGGGTCGGAAACGGGGCCGGCTGCTCTGCATGCTCATGTTGACCTTCATGTTCATGGTGCTGGAGGTGGTGGTGAGCCGGGTGACCGCGTCGCTGGCGATGCTGTCCGACTCCTTCCACATGCTGTCGGACGTGCTGGCGCTGGTGGTGGCGCTGGTGGCCGAGCGCTTCGCCCGGCGGACCCACGCCACCCAGAAGAACACGTTCGGCTGGATCCGGGCCGAGGTGATGGGGGCCCTGGTGAACGCCATCTTCCTGACCGGCCTCTGCTTCGCCATCCTGCTCGAGGCCATCGAGCGCTTCATCGAGCCGCACGAGATGCAGCAGCCGCTCGTGGTGCTCGGGGTCGGCTTGGCCGGGCTGCTGGTCAACGTGCTGGGACTCTGCCTCTTCCACCACCACAGCGGCTTCGGCCACGACTCCGGCCACGGCCACTCGCACGGGGGCCACGGCCACGGCCTCCCCAAGGGGGCCCGCGGCAAGAGCCACCGCGCGGGGGGCAGCGACGGCAGCGCGGCCCCTGGCGAGCAGGGCCCGGAGCAGGAGGAGACCAACACCCTGGTGGCTAACAGCAGCAACTCCAACGGGCTCAAGGCGGACCCGGCAGGTGTGCGGGGCCGGGGGAAGGGAGCGGGTAGGTCGGCGGCAGGTGGTTGCTTGGGTTTGGGGCGCCCTGGCCCCCGGGTGGCCCGCACGCCCCCTGGCGCCCGCGAACCTGGCCTCCCCGCAGCTCCGGGACGCGGGACCCGCTGGGAGCCGGGGAGTCCGGGGCGGGAGCCTGCCTGCTGCTGGCGGGAGGGGGCGGCATCCCAGTGCTGTTCGCGCGCGCACTGGGCTTGGGTACCCTGATTTCCTTGGGGAGCGCCCCCGCCCCCCGCCCCCAGTGCGTCCTCAGGTGGGGGTCGAGCCGGTGCCCCTGTCCGAGTGGTGTCTGCCCCCACGGCCCAAGTTTCATAAGCCTGGCTACAGAGCGCATGACCCCGTGGTTAAAGGTTTCGTTTATGAACCATAGTGTATGTTTCAGTTCATGGATCGCCAGTCCTGAAAATCCCAGGCTCAGGATTTGTCTGAGCATGTTAAGCGGGCACTTTGCATAGGACTTGCAGTGGTGGTACCAAAATGAAAGTGGCTGTCATTTATTCAGCGTGTGTGATAATGGATGCTGTTCCCTTTTCTAACATAGTGCTCTGGAAGAAAACTGAGAAAAATAAGGGTTGAAAGAAAATGGAAAGAAAAAAAAAATGCTCTGCTCCCCAAGCTCAGAGATGGGGCAGTTTGGTGTATCCCCTCCCTTACCTCCCATTTATATTTTATCTGATTGCATCGTGGTATATTTTTGCCTTTTTAGTTCAGTAAATAACATAAGATTCAAGCTTATAATTGGGTTTCCCCTCCTCCACCAGGTAGGCTGATATTCCAATTAATCTATACACTGGTGTGTAATTCTGAAAGAACATTTTTGCCTTAAGAGCTTGTGGGACTGATAGTAATAATTGCGTTGCAATTTTTAATGTGTGTTGATTTACATTGTTGATCTGTTCATTTTTAAACCCTTTGGTACCATAGGATTACCATTTTTATTCATGATAAATGTAAATGTCAACAGTTAGGTTTTTTCTGGAGCTGTTGCCCTTGGAGTGAGGAGAGCTAGTGTCAGATCAGATGTGTTGTCTAGGAGACTTGCCCGTGGCTGCATTTGTTGGGTGATAGCATTCCTTTTGGTGTTTTCTTTGTTGTATATGCTAAAAGCTAAAGCAGAAAGTTTACAGGGCCCCACCCCATAGGAGAAGAAAATGTGGCTTGGTTTGGTTTTGTTTTTTTGTTTTTTTTTTTCTGGAGGAGAGGAGGTGGTTGGGCTGTGATTGGAAGACTGAGTGGGAAGCGGTACTCTAAGGACTTGATTTAGCCCTGGCCATTAGATCTTGGCTTGTTCCCAGAATGTTGATTTATGTTAAATTGCTCCTAGCACACTTTTGTTGTGCTTTATGAAAAGATTCTCACTTTCTTCATAAGTTGAAGAAAGAAAGATCTGTTATATATATAAACAGTTTAAATGCATTTGATAACTGAGTTTCTTTTTCTCTGTAGATCCAGAAAAATCTAGAAACGAGGATGCAGTGGATGTACAAGTGAATGGGAATCTTATCAGAGAACCTGAGCATGTGAAGCTGGAAGAAGATGACAGTGCTGGACAACTTAACATGCGTGGAGTTTTTTTGCATGTCCTTGGAGATGCCTTGGGTTCAGTAATTGTAGTAGTAAATGCCTTGGTCTTCTATTTCTCTTGGAAAGGTTGTTCTGAAAGAGAATTCTGTGTGAACCCATGTACCCTTGACCCCTGCAAAGCATTTGTAGAAATTATCAATAGTACTCAGGCATCAGTTCATGAGGCTGGTCCTTGCTGGGTGCTGTATTTAGACCCAACACTTTGTATTGTAATGGTTTGTATACTTCTTTACACAACTTACCCACTACTTAAGGAATCTGCTCTTATCCTTCTACAAACCGTTCCTAAGCAAATTGATATCACAAATTTGATAAAAGAACTTCGAGCTGTTGAAGGAGTTGAGGAAGTTCATGAATTACATGTCTGGCAGCTTGCTGGAAGCAGAATCATCGCCACCGCTCACATAAAATGTGAGGACCCCACATCCTACATGCAGGTGGCTAAAACCATTAAGGACGTTTTTCATAATCACGGAATCCATGCTACCACCATTCAGCCTGAATTTGCTAGCGTAGGCTCTAAGTCCAGTGTAGTCCCGTGTGAACTTGCCTGCAGGACTCAGTGTGCTTTGAAGCAATGTTGTGGGACCCGGCCCTTGGCCCATACTGGAAAGGATGCAGAAAAGGCCCCCACAGTTAGCATTTCTTGTCTAGAACTTAGTGACCATCTAGAGAAGAAGCCCAAGAGGACTAAAGGTGAAAACGTCCCTGCTGTTGTGATAGAGATTAAAAAAATGCCAAACAAACAACCTGAATCATCTTTGTGAGTCTTGAAAAAGATGTGATATTTGACTTTTGCTTTAAACTGCAAGAGGAAAAGACTCCATTGACATTCTAAGTTTGCCAAGTAGCATAATTGAAGTCCTTGTCTGGTCACACAGTTTAACTCTATTTTTGTAAGAACATAATGGGACTGCCTACCAGAGTTCTATATTACAATTTTGTGATGATTAGCACAGAGTACAGCTATGCTGTAACAATTTTGGAAAGCCAGTTTTAACACTATGTTACATTTTTGTTTAAGTATGAACTTTATATAACATAATGACCTTTGATTTCCGGTTTTCCCGTGATAAAAAATTAGGGGGATAAATAAAATTGTTACTGGAATTTCTCTGCTTTTCTTTGCCCCATTGTTACACTTAGAACTCTAAAAAGCGACCAGTTTGTTTCCTTTGACATTTTAGTTCATATTGACCTGTTCTTTGAGATCATCATATGGCATAATGGCAGCATGCTTTTTGAAGTCTCAAGACCAGTGGTTGTTCTTTAAATTGCTGGGTATTCATCTATACAGTGAAGTAATTAGCAAATGGAACTGTACACGTAATAGCATGTGCAGAGTAAGAGCAGGGAAGAATATTTATCAAACCATTTCGATTTTTGTATGTTGGTTTTCAGACTACATTTCTAAATTATTTCAGAGAATTTCAATTCTTTCAGCCAGAGTTAGTCTGAAACATGGATATGATCACCAGCATTACTTTCCGGGAGAGATTGGTGATAGAAATATAGCTGAAAATTGACTGACATGCCTCAGATTTTCATTTAGTCTTAATTTTTCACTAAATACAAGCTATTAATGCAGCCTTTTAGATTGTTGATGTTTTGAAAAAGCTTTTCAAAATGACGCTCGTTTCCTGGTGACCAATCATGAACGGATTTCAGCAGCTTTCCCCACAGCCAGCAGTGCTCGGGCTTTGCCAGGAGCCGCTGACTCGAGAGAGGAAAGATGCTTAAGTCCATTTGGATATTAAATTCTTAGAAAGCAAAATTAATAATTTAGGCAAAATCGGAATTCTGCGAGTGACTCTTCCTCAACACTGGTGAGATCTTCCAACAGCATCTTCTTTTGCAAGATGCCACAATTCACGCAGGAACCTGTTCTTGGCTATCTCATTCTTGCTAGAGAGATCAAATCCAACAGAACATTACTTAAGGATATTCTTAAGTTACATTTTTCTTGATAAAGTTGTGCTTTGTGAAGAAAATGTAGGGTTTGTCCTCAAAAGGATGAATTATTAATATCAGTTATCACGTATAGCTCTATTTTTCTAGAAACAAGGTATTCTGACTACTTCAGTAACTTTTATAGCTGACTACTTTTGGGATGGCTACCTTTTGAGATTTGAAATAATTCATTGTTTAATAGGTCTTAAGGTGAAAGGTTGGAATTTGACAGTGGATTTTTAAAGGGATGATCTTTTGTGGTAGACGGTGTATCTTTTTCGTAGTATAAGCCTGTTGCGGGCAATGGGCCTATTTAAGAACAGCTGATTTTTCCAAGGAGAATGAGATAATTTTAGGAACATAGTTTGTAAGTTCACATTCACTATAATGGGCCAAAACCATTACCTGCCAATTTGTAATACATCTTGATCTTTTAATACTATTACCTACTATTGTGTAACTCAATTCCTTAGCAGTAGTTATTTTGATTTTTGCAAAATAGCTTGAGTTTTGTTTCTTTAAACATGAAATTGAAGAATCTCATTATCTGGGTAAACAAGAAAGCAAGCTTCAAATTGTACTGTATCATGTACATTCCGGAGTTGCCCGTTTGTTAAACACTTCAGCAATGTTACAGCAGGACGACTGGGAAGGTAACGTTGCATTCAGTGGAGTGTTCTTTACAAATACGCTAGCAGGGTCTGTATCTTAAGACAGATGTGTAGAATAGAACCCGGATGAGGATTTTGTTCAGGTGGTGTGCAAGCATTGGGACAAGGGCTATGTTTTATTTTTCAAAAGTGCTTTGAAGAGAACAGCTTTCAGGCTTCAGATATTTCACTTTTCATGATTTATAGGTAGCTTCTACGTAACAGTGGTACCCTGGAACCTTCTGTTTTCAAAGGACTTCATAGCAGAATCAGTGGCACGGACTCACCTTTTTGGGTTATAGCAGCAATTTATTTATTTCTTTACAAATGCACTTTCTAACCCATTTTTTTTTTTTAGCTACATTAGTAATATCTTTTTTGAACCAAGACATGCTTTTCTATTTAAATATTGTGGAATTTGTGTCATTTCCAAAATAGCTTATTCCTTCCTGAGAGAAAATGAGGGAAATATTCTGAATTACTCAGAGAGTTAAACCTGCTATTTAAATCTGCTGTTTTATAACACTGCATCAGTTTTAGGACTTGTGTCTCTCCTGCTGGCTCTCTCCTCTTCCAGCAAGCTCAGTGTACAGTGATGTGTTTAGCAACTGGTTTGCCACCTCAGTTTAGTGAGAAGGAGGTGTTCCAGGTCCCTGAATTAAAGCCAGCCAGCAGCTTTTCCTGATCCAGCCTCGGCAGTGGGAGGTTTAATCCTCAGTTGCCACCTTTCAAAAAGAAAATGTTGAATGGCTAAGGTATGTAATTTGAACAGGAGAAGTTTCTGTCAGGACACCTTGGAGCATCTCAGTCTGTAAACACCCTGTATTTCTGTTAATATCCTTGGTTGGAATTGTTTAAGTTTTGAGGGAAAAATTCCTATGGGACATAATGTGAAGTATTTAAGTAGGTTGGCTGGTATCAAATTCGAGATTTTTTACTTTAATAAGCAAATATTTGATTACTATGTCATGAACCTGCTGTCTTAACGTGTTCACACATACACAGATATGGAGAGTGATTCTATACAACATAAAAATATTTATTTTAATACTGAGTTTCAGTTAAGTCATAAAACAGTGTTAAAACTCGGGAAGGTGGAGAGGTCTTTTTTTGTGTGTGTGTGTGTGTGTTGCTTTTTTCTTTAAGTTGAATCTGTCTTAACAGTGTTTATAGGCTCTGCAGTGGGAAATGTTGATGGCACTATTTTCATGTGGCTCTGCCGAACCACAGCGCTGTTCTTCTGTTGTACTAACAAGCTCTGGAACAATTCACAGTCGTTTTCACTGGCACAAGAGCCTTGGGTATGTTTTTCAATTTAAACTTTGAAACCAAAAATTTTATTGTCCAGCGTCTTTGGCAAAAAGATGCTGAAGGGAATGTAATATACAATTAACATGTGGTTATATATAAAATGACATAAATGGCCATGTTATGGTTCTGCCTTGAAACAGCACAATGAAGTGTATCAGTGTATCCTGTGATTCTTTATGAAACTTAGATATTGTGTTGTTTTTGTGTCTGCTGTTGCCTGTCTTTTGTGCCAGATGTGGCACAGTGAAATGCTGTTATCATCTCATTAAGTGCAGATGCAGATAAAATGTCTTTAGTGCTGCAACATTTTACCTTTTTGTATGTTTTATGACTCTGTTATTTTCCAAAGCTGTTCCTACCTCACCATGAGGCTTTATGGATTGTTATGTATTATAAATGTTCTATATGAGACAGACTACTGTGTTTTCTTCTCATTTATTAAAAGTTAAGTAGAAAAATAAACTAATTTTAATATCTATTTTGTTTCGTGCGTATGGTCGCTTCTCCTTTGAACCAGGTGGGTTATCTGGATAACAGGTAGAAGTGCAGTGTTGGTCACAGGTCACAGGTTGGTGGTGTGGAAGAAAGCAAACATTAGCAGAAGCTGCAACAGAAATTGAGAGGGTAACTAACTTAATGCAAACACTAAGACCAGATGATCTCCCTGCGAACTTTTTTTTTGTAAGCTTTGTCATGGCTAATGTGCTTCTGATACTTGGCTATTTATTTAATAGTTTACTAATAAGGATTACTAAATATTTTAAACCTCTACAGTTATCTGGAAGTACAAACTCAGAAAATGTTAGTAAGTTTAGTGTGGTATGTGAGTCTCAGGAATAGCACAAATGCATTCTCAAAATTTTTTTCTTTAGAGTACTGACACTGTTGTTGAAAAATCAATTGACAGTAAATGAAAGTGTATAAACAGTTAAGAGAACTGATAAATGCAGTGGGTGCTCTAACCACAGGGGGAAGAAATGTCTTTGGAATAGAATTTGTGAGTTAAAATGCAAAAGACAGAGGAGCAGGGAGTGGAGAGGGTAAAGTGTGCCCTGCCAAGCAAGGTGAAGTTGGTTTCATGGAAAAGGAGGAAGCAATCTATTTCATCTATGGCTAGATGAAATGGGGGAAAAAACAAACAAACCAAAAACCTGTATAGACTAGTATGGGAATAGTATTGTAGATAAAGTGAGACAGGAAGACAATCAGTTTACCAGATGTCAATGCGAAGAGCCTGAAATAGTCTCTAAATATGCATCTCCACATCTGCATAGAACATTTCCGCTAGCCACGCACACCCTTTTTATTTTAACATAGATGAAATCAATCAATAGTACCTGACAAATGCTGTTAACCAACTTTTTTTCTTATCTGCATGTATTAGAAAAGAGTTACCTACTGGCAATATGATTTTTCAAAAAGTATTTGTCAACATTCCTTAATATGCATTGCATATTTGCATGACAGCTGTTTTTGAATCAGATGAAAATAAATTTACTAAACATGGTTTTTAAAGAAATTTCAGACATATGTGAACCCTCCACATATGTATTGTAAACCTCCACAACCTTTTTTCTTTTTAAATCAGATAATTTATGAAGCTTTATTGCATTTGTTTATTTAAAAAGTTGTTCCTTTCTAGATTATAAATTCTAAAGACAATGTCCTTTTTTTTTTTCTTTAGGATTTACTTATTTTTGTTGGAAAGGCAAGTTTTACAGAGAGAAGTAGAGACAGAAAGATCTTCCATTTACTTGTCCACTCCCCCAATGGCCACAACAGCCAGAGCTGGGCCAATCTGAAGTCAGGAGCCAGAAACTTCTGAGTCTCCCATGCAAGTGCAAGGTAGGCTTTGGGCCATCCTCTACTGCTTTCCAGGCCACAAGCAGGGAGCTGGATGGAAAGTGGAGCTGCTGGGAAATGAAGCAGCACTCTTGAGGGATCCCAGCATGTGCAATGTGAGGGTTTAGCCACTGAGCCATTGTGCCAGGCTGGTCCATCTTTATTTCTTCAGGATAGAGCACATGGACCTATACCCACCCTAGGTATTTAAAGGTGTTTTAAGGAATGGCAGGAGAGGGAAAGAATAAGTCTGCTATTAACACTTAAAATATGCTGAGTACTTGTGTGACAGACATGTTTTCATTTAATCCCTACCTAGCATTTGTTAGGCATTATTACGGTTCAGACGATAGTTTGAATGCCTCCCCCAAACTTGATCCCCAAATTCTAATGTTAATGGCTAATGGATTATATTAAGGGTGGAGGCTTGATTTAATTGGAGTGTTGACATGGATCCTTGCAGGTAAGGAGGCCCTGAACAGGGCCTGCACAAGGGGTGCTCACTGGACATCAGCCAGCTATTTCGTTCCCTCCCTCGTTTCTCAGCTCATGCTTGTTCCCTGGGCTGCTTCTGCTCCTTCCTAGGCTTTACACTCATCTGCCTTTTATCAGTATCCTTAGTCTCTGCCCCTCCCTCCAGGGAGCTTCCACTGCAAACAAGCCGCTTGGGGGTCGGCAGGGATCCACCAGTGACCCCTTCTCGCTATGGGAAAGGGCGCCAGGGAGGAGGCGCTCGTTGCTCTGGAGAAATGCTGAGACAGTTCCAGCACTCCGAAGAGGCTTGGGGAGGCATGGGATGGGGGTTGGGGGCTGACCCCACTGAAGGGCTTGGGGCACTCACTGATGGCCCTCTTGTTGCTGGAGGGACTTCTGCCAAGGGCAAAGGTGACTCCAGATGAAGGTACGAGACTTGTCCAGCTAGGATGCAGGCTTGACTTTTTGTTTGTTCTTAAGTATTTCTTTATTTTAATTGTAAAGGCAGATCAGATTTACAGAGAGGAGACAGAGATCTTTCATCTGCTGATTCACTCTCCAGATGGCCGCACAGCCAGAGATGGGTCAATCCAAAGCCAAGAGTCAGGAGCTTCTTCTGAGTCTCCCACATGGGTGCAGGATCCTAAGGCTTTGGGCCATCCTCTACTGCTTTCCCAGACCACAAGCATGGAACTGAGACATGAACTGGCAGCAATATGGGATCTTCTTGCTTGCAAGGGGAGGATTTAGCCATTGAGCCATCATGCTAGGTCCTGGGATGCAGGCTTGTTAAGGGAAGTCCTCGGAGAGATGTCCTAGATTGGGCACCTTGCTGATCGGTTCTGATCCTTGCCCTTTGCCTGTCCAGTTATCACCAGGGATCCAAGTTGGCTTTCCTATCAGACTTAGTTTCTGCATTCTCAACATGAGAGAATGGACTGTGTTGTAGTCAGGAAAACTCATCTGTTCTCTCTTAGCAGCCTGTACCATCCAGGAGCAGTCCATCTGCAAAAAGAGGCCAGACCAGACTGCCATGTTGAGGACCGGGTAGGGTAGATCCATAGGACTAGTTGCTAAGAGCCCCAACTCTCGTGTGTACCAGTGGGTGCTGTGGCCTGATTGGGGCAATCCCCAACAACCTCAACCAGACCTGTACCCAGACCTGGCCACTGTGTATGCCTATGGGTGCTGGCCTAGCCCTCCCTCAGATCCAACCGCTACTGTACCAGTAGGTCCTGCAGCCTGAGGACCCATTCCAGGCCCACCTCCCACAGAACCAGTTTTCAAGGATGTTGACAGGTGTTGCAGTCTTGCCCGCCCTGTCCAACCCCTAGCTCTGATTGTCGTGTGTGCCGACAGGCTAACAGCATTCTTTTAAGAAATTAGCACTCTGCTTGGCTTCTGCCTCTAGGAATGATGTAACTGTGTGTGCCTGTGGGTCATGATTCACTGTGCACACGTTGTGGCCTGGGCTATGAGCCTTCCTATATCTAACTGCCTGAATTTGCCTTGAGATATTTTGCACTGTGCATCTTCTAATCTCTCGATTGGATCACCCACCTGAGCCAGTCTCCTGCCTCCTACAGTCCATCCTTCAGAATCCCGCCATGCAGTTTTCCTAGGGCACTGACCTGATTCACTCTTCCAGAAGTGTTTCTTGAGGGGCTACTTTGTGCCAGGCACTGTTCCAGGTTCTGGGTTCTAACCTTTGGGTTAGTAAGATCCTGGTGACAACTGAGTTCTTTCAGCTCTTGTCACTCAGTTTCTCTCTTCCTTCAGTGAGCTCTGGCACCCATTCTGCATTCTGTTCCTTCCACCCTGACCCACATGTGACTCACAGAGTGGCCATGCCATGCCCTGCTCTATTTCATCCCATGGGCTGCTTTTCTATGGGCACTTTTCACATTGCCCCACTCAGACCTCAGCTGATTCCTACTCATCCTTAAAGAATGAGTTTATCTGGGGGTAGGGGAGAACAGAGTGTAGGGTAGCAGACTTGGGGGAGGGGGTTAAGGGAGATTCCAGCATCAACTAAATTGTATTTAAAAAAATGTGTTTACCATGGCAGGTATTGGGGCATGAATTAATCCACCACCTGGCTTGTCTGTAGCCCATAGTGGAGTGCCTGGTTCAAGTTCTGACTACTCGGCTTATCTGGCTTCCTGCTAATATGTCCTGGGAAGCAGCAGCAGATGACCTAATGCTGAAGCCTCTGCTCTGCCACTATGCAGGAGACCCAGACAGGGTTCCAGCCTCTTGGCTTTGACTGACCCAGTCTTAGCTCTTGTGAGCATCTTTCTCTCTCTCTCATCCACCCCCCTCATCTCTACCTGTCACTTCAAATCAAGCCAATAGATTTTTGAAGAGTGAGAAAAAGACAGGAAGGAGAAAGAAGAGAAGAAAAAAAGAGGAGGAGAAAAACGGGGCTGATATGTTGGCTCAATTGGCCAGGATCCCATATGGGTGCTGATTGTGTCCTGGCTATTCCACTGCCCATCCAGCTCCCCGCTTGTGGCCTGGGAAAGCAGTGAGGGACGGCCCAAAGCCTTGGGGCCCCTGCACCTGCACAGGAGACCAGAAGCTCCTGGCTCATGAATTTGGATTGGCTCAACTCTGGCCATTGTGGTCATCTGGAGAGTGAACCAATGGATGCAAGCTCTTTCTCTCTGTCTCTCCTTTTTTTCTGTAAATCTGCCTTTCCAACAAAAATAAATATATCTCTAAGTGATAGAAGAAGAAGAAGAAGATAGGGCAGCCCAAGGGACAAAAATATGGGCAGACATGGATGGCCTTGCTCCAGTCATGTGGCAAAGGTGATCACCTACTCTACTTCCATCCTGAGTCCATAAACAAAGCTCACTTCTGCTTCCATTAAAATTCCAGGAATACTTTCTTACTTCCTTTCCCTCTGGAACCACAGTGGGAACCTGGCTCCTGTTTGGGTTCTTCTGCCACATCCCCACTTTGTCTATATTTGCTTACAAGTTCTCCTCCTCCTCGTGATCCTTCCCTCTTTCCCCCTTTCTCTCTTCTACCCTCTTCCTTTCTCCCTCTCTCTCGTCTTCCAATATTTGCTGAGCCCATGTCTTAGGCTAACTATGGCTATACAAGGGTACTTCAAAAAGCTTGTAGAAAAATCGAATTAGAAGATAAGCTTATTTT